ATTTATTACTTTAGACTCACAGGGTGCCTGAAAGGCATTTCTTTGCTTTTCTTTATTTCAGGAAGATCTGGAAAATATTTATTTCATTATTTTTAATTGGAAATAGATTATTTTCATATTATATATTCTGATCACCTGTTCTCCTCCCCCCTCTAAATCCTCCTACATTCTCCCCTCCTCCCTTCCCACTCAAATCCACACACTTTCATGCTCTCTCTTATTAGAAAACAAGTAACAGGGAAAAAAGGAACCAAAAGAAAATGTACAAGAAACATAAATAGATAATGAGACACACACACTCACACACAGAGAGAAATCCCATAGAGAAACAAAATCAGAAGCCATAACATAAAAGCAAAAGACCTGTAAGGCTAACCAAAACAAAATCTCAGACCAAGTATTATGAGACAGAAACCCTCCCAAAACACCATCGCGTTCATTTTGTGTCGGCCAGGTATTGCTGGGCAAGGGGTCTGCCCGTAAGAGTGGTTTGTATACTCGTGAGACTCCATTGGCGAGAACTCATTTTTTTTTTTTGTTTTTTCGAGACAGGGTTTCTCTGTATTGTTTTGGAGGCTGTCCTGGAACTCACTCTGTAGACCAGGCTGGCCTCGAACTCACAGAGATCCGCCTGCCTCTGCCTCCCAAGTGCAGGGATTAAAGGCGTGCGCCACCAATGCCCGGCCTGAGAACTCATTTTTCATTTGCCAGTGGTTATCAGGTGGAGATAGATAACTCCCGGCCTAGGATGGCACCCATGTCTTCTTTCTCTCTCTGCCTCCCATCCGGCTTACACCTGTGCAGCCCTGTGCAGGTCCCCACCCTCCCCCTCTCTGAGCTCACATGTGCATTAGTCCTGTTGTGTCTAAAAGACCTTCTTCCCTCGGTGTCCTCCACGCCCGTCGGCTCTTAGTATAGAATGGCTGCAACTCTCTTTTCTTTTCCTTTTTGTCTTTTTTATTTTTAAATTTAAATTAGAAACAAGGTTGTTTCACATGTCAATCCCAGCTCCCTCTCCCTCTCCCTCCCCTCCTCCCATGCCCTCCCACCAAACTCCCATCCCCCTCCCCCAATCCCCACTTCTTTCCCCAGGGAGGGTGAGGCCCTCCATGGGGGTGTCCATAGTCTGTCATTTCATCCAGGGCAGGGCCTAGGCCCTCCCCCAAGAGTCCAGGGTGTGAGAGCATCTCTCATTGTGGGATAGGCGCCTAAAGTTCATTTGTTGTTGGTGTTTTTTTTTTTTTTTCTGTATTGTTTTGGAGGCTGTCCTGGAACTGGCTCTTGTAGACCAGGCTGTCCTCAAACTCACAAGAGATCCGCCTGCCTCTGCCTCCTGAGTGCTGGAATTAAAGGCGCACGCCACCAACACCCAGCTCCAAGGTCCATTTGTATGCCAGGGATAAATACTACCCAAGCCCCCATAGATGGCCTAGGCCTCCTCACTGACACCCACATTCAGGGGTCTGGATCAGTCCCATGCTGGATACCCAGGCATCAGTTTGGGATTCAAGAGCTAACCCTTGTCAGGTCAGCTGTTTCTGGGGGTTAAACAAGCCCAGTCTTGACCCCTTTGCTCATCAGTCCTCCCTCTCTGTCACTGGGTTTCTTGAGTTCAGCTCAGTGTTTAGCTGTGGGTGTCTGCCTCTGCTTCCATCAGTCATTGAATGAAGGTTCTGTTTCCCAGACTCTCTGGCAGTGGGATTGTAGGCTGGCACACAGTGCTGCATCCAAACATGACAAACCTACTCACCAGCCTCCCTAGGGAAGCTTGCTACGTACGCTTCCTCTGCAACCGGGTCCTTTGGAGCCCAGACTGGCCCGTACCTCACTACGTAGCTCTAACATTGGCTCTGGTTCTCCTGCCTCCACCTCCCATGGGCTTGGATTCCACACTTGCACCTTCATGCCCAGTTTTATGCAGTGCTGGGGACTGAACCCAGGGCTTTGTACTTGCTGGGTACTCTGCCAACCAGGCTACTTCTCCAGCACTCAGTCAACATCGTATGCATTTCCTTGTTGTTGTTGTTTTGTTTTGTTTTCTTTTTTGAGACAGGGTATCACTGTATCAATTCACCAATTAAGTCTCCCCAGTCCTGAGATAACATGAGTTCTTACTGCTGTGCCCAAGTTGCAAAGTCCCCAGAGACCACCAGGAAGACCCACCAAACTGCAAAAGCAAGGTTTAATGATTGTTCATCCACCCATGACAGGGACCCCATCGAGCAAGCTGACACTGCAGCCTCAGAGAGAGTGAAGTTCCCTGTCTACTGCTAGGTTTTAAAGACAAAAGTTACAGGATGACATCAGTAGGTATGAGTTGGTTTCTTTTTCTTTTTTTGGTTTTTCAAGACAGGGTTTCACTGTTGCTTTGGAGGCTGTTTTAGAACTCACTCTAGACCACACTGGCCTTCAACTCACAGAGATCCACCTGCCTCTGCCTCCTGAGTGCTGGGATTAAAGGTGTGCACCACCAACGCCCGGACTGGGTTGGTTTCTGATTGGTTGACATTTGGGAACAATTAGGAGAATTTATCAAAGTCATATTTTGGCATGAAATACCTGTGTACCAATTATTTTCATTGGTCAGTGCTGAGAGGGAACATTCTGTGGTTTCTATGGCACTGTCTTGTTACTTGCAGGTGGCCTGTTGTACATAGATAGCAATAGTTTTCAGAACTATATCCTGGAGACTACAGGGGAGGTTTTGGTCTCTCCTGGAGCTTCTTTTGTGGCCAAACAGTTCCCAGGAACCAAGTATCTAGGAGGCTGGTGGAGGTGGTCTGGAGTTTCCTTGTGTCAGAGGCCCATGTGTCTCTTCTGTAGCCCATCATGGCTACTAAAGCAGGGTCTGAGTGAGGGTCTGGTCCCTTTATTTAGGTTCCCCCTTTCACTCATACTCATTTCAAATACTGCAGGCTGAGAGAAGAAAGGAACCTCTGTAGAGCCCTTGCGACTGCAGAGCTCTCTCCTCCTTCGTTTTCTGCACACCCCTCCTCCCCCAGCCACACCCTGTGTTCTTTTTCCTCTCTGGCCTTCTCTCTCTACCTTGAAAAAGTTAGCTCTCCATCCCATCCCCTGTTCCTTCCCTCCCCTCCACACCTGGGTTTTTCTTTTCCCTTTTTCCAAACAGGGTTACTCTGCATAGCCCTGGCTATCCTGGAACTTGATTTGTAGACCAGGCTGGCCTTGAACTCATAGAGATCCGGTGTGCCACCACACCACTGCCCTGCAACTCCTTTTTTCTTTTTTTCTTTTTTCTTTTTTCTTTTTTTTCCCCGAGACAGGGTTTCTCTGTCACTTTGGAGGCTTTCCTGAAACTCTGATGTGTAGACAAGGCTGATCTTGACCTCACAGAGATTTGTCTGTCTCTGCCTCCCAAATTCTGGGATTAAAGGCGTGAGCCACCACCACCCATCGAGATATGCTTCTTAGACACTGGACAATGCCTACAGAGTAAAGAACTCCAAAACTTGCATTTATCAAATGAATAAAATAAACAAATTGGATGTCTTGAAAATGGATGAAGATTTGGTGGGGCTTGGGATCCAATAAAAACAAATCAACATGAGTGATTAGGGCTCTATTTTTGTTACTTGAGTATCTGCATTTGAGAATGGGCTGTTTGTTACATCTACATAACAAACCAACTCATCCAATAACAAATTCCATATCAAAGGTAAAAGGTGAGCACACACACCCTTCCAACATTACTACCCAACAGAGTTACTGAGTGAAGGTTTGCTTGTACTTTCCCTCCCCTCCCCACCTCGCCCCGCCCTGGGACGATTGGGATGGCTCTTAAGGTGACTCTGTGCAGGCTGCCCAAGCCTTGGGAAGAGGAGCTTGTTTCTGTGCTGCATGATTTCCGATGCTGCGTTGGACAGGTATGTGAGCCAGATGTTTGGGGAGGGTGCACCAAGGAAGGTATAACCCCCACATTCCCATCAGAGTCACCAAAAGTCATGCTAACCTTCAAGTTCAATAGGGAACTCTGCATCCGTGGCTGTCGTACCTGAGGAGCACTCACCTAGAGTGCCATCTAGGGAGTCTAATTTAGGTGCCCTTCAGTGATCACGATGCTGAAGACAGCCTAGACTTCTAGATCTTTCACCTCATCCTCTCCACCCCCACGTTATTTCTGGGTTTTTGTGTGTTGTCTGTCCGTATGTCTGCAGCCCTGAAATACTGGGTGCCCACAGAGACCAGGAGAAAGTATCAGATCGTGCACCGCTATTGTAGGTGCTAGGAACCCTCTGGGAAAGCAGCCAGTGTTCTTAATTTCTGAGTCATCTCTTCTCTAGCTCACTCCTTTGCTTCTTGGGACAGGGTCTCGTGATGTAACCCTGTCTGTTCTTAAACTCCCAGTGATCCTCCTGCCTCTGCTGAGTGCTGGATAAGTGTGACACCACAACCAGCCTTTACTACCCTTTGAAGGAATCAGTTCTGGTTCCGGGACAGAATTCAGGCTGTCAGGCTTGGCAATGAGTGCCTTCACCAGATTATTCCCTCTTGAATGAGCTGTGGGAACTAAGGGTTAGGCGGGCCTGGAAAAGCTATGATCCTGGAGCTCAGGCTCTAAGTCTTGGAGGTTGCAATGAAGGCTCAGGGCTTATGTAGCTTAGCTTTAGGAGGATCACCGGAGAGATCTTGGCAGTCTGTTCAGTCTAGAGAAAAGATTATGGATCCCAAACTGGGAGAGAACATGTTTCTTTTTCTTTTAAGGAGGTGGGGGATGAGAGATAGGTCAGAGGTTTCTGAATAGGCTCAGCAGAACAGAAGTTCAGTGGGGCTGGGCCTTGAGTTTGGTTCTAATGCTTGGGCCCCAAAAATGCAAACTATTACAGTCCCTTCAAAATAGTAGCCCCTGACATCTTACTAGCCACACCAAGGAATGGAATTATGTAGGCACTGTATCTTTTAAAAAAAATCCCCTTTATAGCACTTCCTTAAAAATAAGTATTTATTGCAACTCTGCCAGCATGCTCTTGATAGTGTCTTAGTAATTGCAGTGCTAACCGTGCAAGTTCATGAAAGGCTGAAGTGTATCTTCCGGGTGAGTGTTCGGCTCATGCTTCTCCAAGCACTTTATACTAACTGTTCCATTGTTCCCTTCAGATGAATGTTTCTTGGGCGATTGTCTTCTTGCTTGTTCAGTTGTAAGAAATGTTGATCCCTTGAGGTGACTAGCAAGGTTTTCTCTTTCCTTTGTATTTGCAGTTTGGGCATTATGACAGGCTTTGGAGCATCAGTTGATGTGGTACTGGGAATGGAAACTCCAGCTTGAGGGGATCCAGCCCCAGAAAGCACATCTTTACAGCACACACTTCAATGAAAATATTACGCATACATGTAATGATAGAAAAGTGAAATATTTATAGGAGATTTACGCTCCTTTATCTACAGTTCATAGAAACAAAGTGTAGAGAGTTTGCTTCTACCAAAATACTCCAGGCACCTTGAGGTACTTAGTTCAAAATCCAGCAATCTGCCTCAAAGTTGTGAATGGCTTTTTAAGAAATATCTAACCCTGATAAAGTTCATGTGGTGGGTGGGTCAGTGCATGGCTAAAATCTCAGCTTTTGGGATGCTGATCGAGGAAGACTGACAGGAATTAAAAACCAGTCTGGATTACAGAATGAGTGTGAGGCTAGCCCAGGCTTCATAGCCACTGTCTCAAGAGCAAATAAACAGACTGCCAAAAAAAAAAAAAAACCAAAAAACAACTGATTAAAGAACATATCCCAGACTGGATTTATGAATGTTCTTATGTTTTCTTTGTTGTTAGTTTTTTGAGACAGGGTTTCTCTGTGTTTCTTGACTGTCCTGGAACTCACTGTGTAGACCAGGCTGGGATTAAGGACACACACCACCACAGCCCAGTCTCATGTTTTCTTTTAAGTGACCTGACTGGAAGATAAAGTATTGTGTTATCATCTCACTGTATTATTTGGTATTAATTGTTATTGTATTGGTATTAGATTAAAACCTTGCCAGGTGGTGATGGTGCATGCCTTTAATCCCAGCACTCAAGAGGCAGAGGCAGGTGGATCCCAGGCACAGGCTTTCTACACCGGCCTCCATGCCTGGCCCGATAAATGGTCTTTGCCAAGATTCCGAAGGCAAAGAGGTCTAAAGTTCTATTATTTAAAAAGGGGGGGGGGCAGGCTAAGGTGAGAAATTGAATTTCAAAAAGTTTAAATTAAAAGCATTTGGGGTGGGGTGAGATGATCTCTCATAGTCCAGGCTGGCAATAAACTCCAATTTGAGCTAGTGTTAATTTGGTACCTGTAATCCCAACACTCTGAGGCAGGAAGATTACTCTGAATTGGAGGCCGCTACAGACTGAGACCTTGTCTCCAAAAAAAGCAAACAACAAACAATAACTATTAAACTTATTTGGAACTGTCCTTTTATTTCATTGGTCTTTTTCTTCCCCACCAGAAGTTGTTACTGAGCCCAGAGCCTTGTGCAAGCTAGCAGCAAGGGCTTTACCTCGGAGCTTCCTCAACACGAGACAACCCACTAATGAAAATGGTCAGTTGTTTTGTTTATCTTTACCCTCGAGTATTGAAACTCAGATTTGTTTCTTTTTGAGAAGGGTGTCCTGTATCCCAGGTTGGCCATAAATTGCCAGGGATAACCTTGATGTGCTGATAATTCTGCCTCAACTAAGTGCTTCGATTATAGACACGTGCTACCATGCTTTATTTAGGTGGTACCAGGGATAGAACCTGTAGTTTTTATTTATGCTATATAAAATTTTATGCTCTATCTAATTATAACTATGGTATAATATATATGCTACAAGATAAATACTTTCGGTAAGCACCAGTTTGACAGGCCAGTGCTTTAAATACTAAACCAGGAAAGTGGCTCTCACATTTGGTGACATCTGAGCCGTGCTATTGTCTATGGCTATGACATCTAGCAGGGAGGGCCCAAGAAGCTGTTGAGCATTCTACGCTGCAAAGAACAGCATGCTGCAATGACAACTTAGCTAGTCTACTACGCCCATAGTGCTGAAGTTGAAATTCTCCTAGCAAAAGAGTCAATTACATTCTATTCATTTCAGAACTCCCGAGTTTCGCCATTGTTGCAACAGACCTGTATCGAACAAGACAGTCTGGGTCAGGAATTCGATGATGCTTTGGAGGTGTTGCAGCACTCAGTTGGAGGACTTCAGTACTTCCCAGGTGAAATAGTCATTGGCACATGTGCTGGTTGGTCACATGCATGTAAGATAAGGCATGGAGACCTAATAAGACTATGATCTTGGCATTGCAAAGCTGGGATTTCCCTAGGGCTCCCTGGCTAAGCAGCATACCCTTATTGATGAGCTCTAGGCCAGTGACAGACCCTGTCTCAAAACACAAGGATTTTGAAGGATGATATCTGAAGCTGGCTTTGGCTCACACATGTTTACACACACACATAGGTAAAATACCCATATACATAAAATAATTTTAAAAGTGATATAGAACAGAGGCCAAGGGGTCATTGTTATGAGGCCAGCCTGATATACATAGTTAGACCCTGTCTCAATAAGACAAAGAACAAACATAAAGTCTGCTTATCATTTGCTTATTATATTATCTTGAATTTTGTATAATTTTTTTATTTTACTTTTTACACATGTTACTCCCAGTTCCCTCTCCCTTCCCTCCTCCCCTGCCATCCCAATCCCCCCAACATCCCACTCCATCCTCCCTCCCCTCCCCAGGGAGGGTAAGGCCTTGCATGAGGGATTTTCAGAGTCTGTCATATCATACCGGGCAGGGCCTAGGCCCTCCCCCATGAGTCCAGGCTGAAAGAGCATTCCTCCATGTGGAATAGGCTCCCAAAGTCCATTTATATGCCAGGAATAAATACTGCTCTACTCCAAGGTCCCATAGATTGCCAAGGCCTCCTCTCTGACACCTAGGTTGGGGGGCGGGTCTGGATCCGTCCCATACTGGCCTCTCAGTCATCAATCTGGGGCCCATGTGTTCCCCCTTGTTTAGGTCAACTGCCTCTGTGGGTTTTGCCAGCCAGTTCTTGATTCCCATCTTGAGTTTTAAAAAAATATATATATGCATATTGTGTATATGTATATGTGTATGATGTATTATGTATGTGTATTTGCATGGTGTATTGTGTAAGTGCATGGTGTATTTCGTATGTATATATGCATGGTGTATTAAATGTATGGTATATTTTGTGTGTGTGTGAGTGTGTGTGAGTGTACATATGTATGTGTACGTATGTATAAAAATGATTTAGGCCCTAAGAGTGTGGAAGTCAGGGGACAACCTTGGGTGTCATCCTTGTCAGAGTCTCATTACTATGCATAAACAGGCTAGCTAGCCTGGCTCTGCCTCCCAACTCTGGTCCTTACTTTGTTGTTATATCTCTCAGGCCTTCCACTCACCCAAGATGTAGTTAGTGTGGAAAAATACAGATTTTTATCCTTCTACTGTTATTTTTATTATTTGATCTAGATAAGATGGAATAAGTTGTCTACTAAGTTTAGTATCATAGAGAGTTCCAAGATCAAAAATAATAGTGTGGCACTTTAGATACATGGAATATTTCTCCCTAAGGCAAATGGGTTATGCAGAAGAGTATAATATTAGAATATTGGAGTAAACACCATGGAAAAAATATAAAGTGGTAAGAACTTAGAAGGCAGCAATCAATAGAATATGTGTTACCTTGGGCCACTCCATACCTGTGCCTGTGTGCGTGTGAGTGTGTGTGTATGAGTGTGTGTGTGCGTGTGAGTGTGTGTGCATGTGTGCGTGTGAGTGCGTGTGCCTGTGAGTGTGAACGAATGTGTGCTTGTAAACTTGGACTTATGAAATGTCTTTTTTTAATTAGAAAATCACATGACTCACTATTACTCTCACCACATCAGAGGCAATCCCAGCTTCTATGGGATCTCACCCCCAGAAGAGCCCACCTACACCTGGAGAAATGTAATAGTGAGTATGTCTAGCGAGGCCAACTCTCGGCACAGAAAAGGGCCCACAACAGCCATGCTTTTGGTTTAATATAAGTGAGCTTATTAAATTTGAATCAAACATCAGTAAAAGGATGAGAGAGCAAGCAGCAGAGAGATAGTAGAACCTCAGATCAAACACAGAACAGAAGTTGGGGAAGTTCTGAACAACAGTGCAGTCACCTGGAGGCCGGACAAGTCAGCGAGAGCTCCAAGCAGATCATGTTCTCCTGGGTATGACTTCAATTAGCCCTTCCCACCACAGGCTTTTTTTTTTTTGGAATTTCTTTCTTTTTTTTTTTTGTTAAGATTTATTTATTATGTATACAGTGTTCTATCTGCATGCATGCCTGCAGGCCAGGTGAGGGCATCAGATCTCATTATAGACGGTTGTGATCCGCCATGTGGGTGCTGGGATTTGAACCTGGGTCCTCTGGAAGAGCAGCCAGTGCTCTCAACCGCTGAGCCATCTCTCCAGCCCCCACCACAGACGTTTTTATTTGTGTCAGTGGTCACACAACAAAGGTGCCTGGGAATAATAATCCACCTTTCGGTTGCATTCAAGGCCGTGCTACTTTTATCTGGCAACCTTTTTAATAACTCGTAAACTGCAGAGTATAGCTTCTTGTAGTTGTGACTCTTGGCATGACAGGGTGGGGGTGACAAGAGGGCTAAAGCCAGTCCCGTCCCTTGTGTTTAATTAACCAATGGACGCTTCTCTGCCATGTGTAATGGTAGGAACTTTTTCCTCTTGTCTCTCGATCCCAGCTGCCATTGGTCTCCCTTGCCCAGGAAGGCATTCAGTCCAGGAATGAGATCCCATCTTCCCTTTGCACTGACACCCTAATCTTTGACTGTTTCATTGCTGGGAGGTGAGGGGAAGCAGGTGATGCCCTTTATTTATTTTTTTATTTTTTGGTTTTTCGAGACAGGGTTTCTCTGGCTTTGGAGGCTGTCCTGGAACTCGCTTGGTAGTCCAGGCTGGTCTCGAACTCACAGAGATCCGCCTGCCTCTGCCTCCCGAGTGCTGGGATTAAAGGCGTGCGCCACCAACGCCCGGCTCGATGCCCTTTATTTTTTGAGGTTTGGTGTTTGTCTACAGTCCAGGATCTGTAGCTCAGGATCTGCTGTAGTCCACCTGCCTCAGTCACTTGCAGCATGGCGCTAACTTTAGGCTTCTTGGTGCTGGGGTTGCAGTTGTGAGCTGCCATGCCTGATTCCCACTGATCACTTGGGTCTTTCTCACCGGGCATTTTTAGAAGAGGGGTAACCACCTCTTTCTCATGGGAGGAGGAGTCAAATGTTAACCTCTATCCCTTGGTCCTCTCTGTATTGTTTGAGCATCCCTGGGATGATCTGGCTGCGGTGGAGGCAGTGTTTTGAGAATGCTCTTAGCCATGGTCTTCTGCCACTGATGGGGTTTAGGGAGGCATGGGACAAACTCCCACTTAATATCCTTCTGTCTTGTGTTTGTAGAATGAGTCTGCGAACTTGCATTTGGAAGAAAGTCTCCAGCAATCTCTGCAGAGCATACACGAAAACCAGCTGGGACAAGTCTCCCTCTTCCAGCCAAAGGGAGGAAAAGGTACATTGCTATGCCACCCCTTACATAAGTTCAAAGGGATGTTGTGTATGTGTTTGGGTTTTTTTCCTTTCTGTTATTACGTAGCCCAGGCTGGCCTTGGAACTCACTAGTAGACCAAGATGTCTTCAAACTTGCAATCCTGCTTCAGATTATAAGTATATAGCATCATGCTGGATGGAGCTCAGAATTAACTATATTTCTAAGTATTATCTTGTAGCCAAACACAGTAGTACATGCTTAGGGCCAGCACCAAGGCAGAAGGATTGCAAGTTTGAGGCAAGCCAGAGCTACACGATAAAATCCATTAAAGAAAAAAAATCCATTAAAACACATGAATTGAACCACTACAATGGTGTTGGGTTATTTATTGGATCATAGGCAACTTACTGATGGTTACACTCTGGAAGAAAAATGCCACCACGCCACCCCCAGCAATCATTAACTACCAAAAGCTCAAAAGCTCCTCGTGGAGCTGCAGTGAGTAGATAGTAAAACAGCCATGCCATCTTCAACTGCACAAAAGTCGAGACTGCCTACACTCAAGATACTACAAGCAGATTTTGGGGGTGGAGATACACAAGCAGTGTAGGAATAAACTATGCTAACCTCTCAAGGGGAAGATATAATCTAGCCAAGAGGGCTGTTTTGTTGTTGTTGTTTTTAACTACTGGTGAATCCATTGGAGAATGATACAGCATACAGACGCTAATTCGGATGTCATGATGTGGCTGTCACTTTAATTCAGTGACTTCTGCCAACAACATACAATCCAGGCAAACATTCCATCTATTTCCATACCTAGTAATTTTGAGACACAAATTATTACATCTCTAAATAGATAAAAGACACTGACATTAGTACTTGACTTTATAATTGAAAATGGCAATGCCCTTAGCCATTGCTCATGAACAATGTGGACTGAAGACTTGTCCACAAGGCTCTCGGATCTTCAACATCTGGCATCTTGGGCTGGGCAGCTGCTGCTTCTTAGCCTCTGGTCAGCGTTTAGACAATCACTGTTGAACAACTTGACTCATCATGTAAGACCGTCTAACAAACAGCCTTAAAATATATACTCATTCTATCAGTTCTGTTTCTCTAGAGTGCTCTAATACACACATCCCCAAAAATGTAAAAATAAGGTTCACGGCTTTGTGTAATTAAAACATGCTATTAAAAATATTTCCAATAACGATGCTAAACTTCAGAAAAACTGGACTAGAAAATGTCATGTGTTTTCATGTCATTGTTTACAGCCCCAGAGATAACCTCCATGTCATAGCTACTAATTCCCTTAATATTACTTTTAGGGCAGAGAGAGACAGCATTTAAGAACAGTGGAGTTAAACATGGTTGTGAGCTGCTGGGACTCGAACCTGAGTCTTTTCTGCGAGCTCAATAAGAGCTCTAACAGCTGAGCCAACTCTCCAGCCCCTTGTATGTTTTTTAAGTTATTATTTTATGTATATGAGTGATGTGTTTGTATGTATGCCTTTATGCCAGAAAGGGCATCAGACCCCACTAGATGGATGTGAGCCACCATGTGGTTGCTGGGAATTGATCTGGGACCTCTGGAAGAACAGCCAGTGCTCTTAACCTCTGAACCATATCTCTAGCCCCTCCCTTTTTAAATGATTTACTTATATATACGGTGTTCTGCCTGCAACATATGCCTGCAGGCCAGAAGAGGGTGCCAGAACTCATTCTAGATGGTTGGGAGCCTCAATGTGGTTGCTGGGAATTGATCTTGGACCTCTGGAAGGGCAACCAGTGCTTTTAACCTCTGAGCCATCTCTCCGGCCCCCTTGCATGTTTCATAATGAGAAAGTATGGTGGAAACTTAACTGTGAGGAAAAACTGCCTTGAAATGAAATCTCCAGATGTGGGGGAGCAGGCTTCCTTTTTCCAGAGGACAGTAAGGAACTTTTAACAATTTCCACATCATTTAGCCCATGGATCTTTCTGGGCTGCTGGTAGGTAACTGTGTTCCTAAGGTAGTGAGTGAGAGGAAACCAGCTCAGTGAAGTCTCCATTTCTGGGGGCAAGTCCTTCCATGGAACCTTCCAGGGCCAGCCACAAAGGGTTTACTGTCTTCTCTTTCCCTCCATTGCAGGCAGGAGGAAGGTTCGACTGTTTGAATACCTTTACCAATCTCTGTGCAACTCAGAGATGTCATCTTGTATTCAGTGGGTCGATAGAGCCAAAGGTGTCTTTCAGTTTATATCAAAAAACAAAGAAAAGCTTGCTGAGCTATGGGGGCAAAGAAAAGGCAACCGAAAACCCATGACTTACCAGAAGATGGCCAGAGCCCTGAGGAACTATGCCAGGACTGGGGAGATCACAAAAATCCGAAGAAAGTTGACCTACCAGTTCAGTGAAGCTGCTCTCCGGAGCCTGTCTCTATCTCACCTCCGGGAGAAAGACCTCTTGTACTCCCAGTATGAACAGCCTAATCAGGAATATTTCAGTCCGGACCACTGGACTACAAACTACTATGCCTATGCCGGTTACCAGAGCTAAGCCACTCCAGCTTCTAATTGTGGTCTACCATTCCTTGCTTGCTAGCATCAGAAAACCCCCAGCTCCAGAATTTTCCCAAAGCAAACAGCTGCTCTCCGTACTCACAGATCCCAGGCCCACAATACACAAGCAGCTAAGGAGGACTCTGTAGAATGTGGTCAGACCTTTTTTGTCCTGACAACATTTTAGGTGGTGTTTGCATTAAAAAGATGTTTCAGAAGGATATTCATAGTTTACCTGCAGATACCTTCAAATAATCATAGACTTAGTGTCTACAGATTGGGTATCCAAGAATACCCTGGAGCCAGTCTTACAAGAAATGAATGCCAAAGGAGAAGATCTCCAGGCCATTTACCAGATTTTAAAATTAATGATCAAGTATATCTCAACCAATTGAAATTATAGGCTGAATGCCTTTTGCTATGAAATACTTTTTCTTCCAGATATGACACTTGGATGATTCTATAGGATGATTCTGTTTACTGGCTGGCTGGCTGGCTGGCAGGTGGGCTTGCCTGCTGGATTGCTTGGAGGCAGTGTTGCCCAGACTGCCCTTGAGTTAATGGCATAGCAGGTATATGCCACCATGTCAGGATTATGTATTGATTTAAGCACTTTCTTGTCATGTACTGAGGTAAAGTCATTCAAAATGTACTGTGACACAGAGGTTATACCAAAATGTTCATGGCTTCATGTTTTTCTTAAAGAACCAGTTGGCACTCCCACCAGCAGTGGAGGAGTGTCCCTCTCCAAATCCTCTCCAGCATAAATTGTCATTGGTGTTTTTGATTTTAGCTATTCTGACAGGAGTAAGATGGTATCTCAGAGTTGTTTTGATTTGCATTTCCCTGATGGCTAAGGATGTTGAGCACTTTCTTAAGTGTCTCTTGGCCATTTTAGCCTCCTCTATTGAGAATTCTCTATTTAGTTCTGTACAACCACCTTTTAATTGGATCCTTTGGTGTTTTGGAGACTTGCTTCTTGAGTTCTTTGTAAATTTTGGAGATTTGCCCTCTGTCAGATGTGGGGCTAGTGAATATCTTTTCCCATTCTGTGGACTGCCTTTTTGTCTTGTTCACTGTGTCCTTTGCTTATTAGATTGGGCAAAGGTGTGACTATAGGAAAAAAGGACCAGCCAAAGACACACACTCTGAGCCGAGCCAGAGAAACACACTTTGGCCCTGCAACCAGAACCAAAGAAATGCACCCTGACCCTGAAACCAGTGCCAAAGGAACACACTTTGCCCCTGGAATCAGAGTCAGTGAAAGTGTCACGACCACCTCGATCAGCAAGGAAGATGCGACTCAGGAATCCTTCTCACAAGCAGTTTATTCAGGACCTTGAACAAATCTTCTGACCCCAGGGAGTGCCCGCCCACAGCTTAAAAAGGCCCTTGGGCGGCCAACCCTGGTAAGCCATGTGGCAACAGCAGATAGGTCCACATACGAGGAAGCAAGCCTGATATCCAGCCTTGTCCAAATAAGGAGTTGTTTATCACAGAGAGCACTTGCTATCGGGCTAGCAGAGGCGGAAGCCAGCACCATCTTAAGGGTGCGGCACTTCGCAGCTCTCTACAGTTCCCCCTTTTTCGTTTAAAATGTAACAGGCAAGAGTAGAGGTCTGATCTCCGACATAGACAGGGACATTGTACTGATTTTTGTTTGGTGTCATCCACTTAACAAACATCAGACCTGTCCGATACCCTTTTTTCCAGAGGTGGGACTCTTGGGTACCAACCCGCATGCAATCAGACATGCTCTTCTCTGGGTCATTATTAGCTGACTCAGAGCGCAGTGCTCTGCCTCGCATCCTGAGCGTATTTAATTAGTTTTTAAGGTGGCTAACCATGCCTGTGGGGGACTGTCCTGCTTCAATATCGGTAAAGGCCTGAATGACCATGGCTGCATTGTGTCTTTTTGTGTGACTCTAATCTTACATAGAATCCACAAGCAAACCAGGGAGACCAACACCAAGAGACCTGTTAATGCTCCTATACCCGCCCACTCCTTAAGATGGTTCATTGTAGAAGTCAGCCAGGACGATAATCCCGATGCAAAGGAAAGGTCCACTCTGGTGGAATTCACATGGACCACTGCCAGCCTCAACTCCTTCAAAGTATCTTCAAATTTAAGTGACCAGTTCTGTAAAAGAAAACTGGACAAATACTTGGACAAATTTGTAGCTTTTGTAAAATTGGCATACTGAACAGGAACACATATAATCCTTGCATTTTCCACTCGCAGCCTCCAGGTGCCAAGATTGCCACTCACTTCTCCTTAATTTGGCAGTGATTTTCCAAGCCTTAATGGCTATCTGATCCACCTGTTCAAACACCTGTCCTGGATATCCTGTCTGCATGTTTGCAAATCTACCTTTTTATTGCTGGAAGGGGGCACTGTTCATACCATGGGGATCATGACAATAGTTTGGAGTTCCTCCTCATTCTCCTCGGAGTCCGTAGACTCTGAGTCTTCTAGAGCTGAGTACATCTTTCTTTTCTGTTTTCCTCCCTATTCACCGTTTGCCTGCTCTGATCTCTCCTCTTGTAATTGTTCTAAAGCATTTCTCCCCTTTTTAACTGCTTCACTACATTTCTGATCCTCAAGGGAACTTTTTACTAGTCTCTAGACAGGCCAAACACCACCTCTGAGCATTTGAAATAATTCAGCAGCATTTATCATCAAGTGTACTTTAGCAGTTGTTCCTTCCTGAGCAATCAAAAACTGAAAAACACAATAGTATACAGTATCCAGAATTTCTGTGTATTTTCCATATTGTTTCTCAGTCCCATGTAAAATCAAGATCTCTCTCTAACTTTCAAAAATCTTAGATTCTTAGAACGAAGCAGCTCATTCAGAGCCAAAAAATTGGGTGCAACTGAGAAGCGCCCATAGCCAAACTAACAATGTTTTTACTTTCCGGTTGCTGCTAGCCAAACTAACAATGTTTCTTTTAAGCTTCTAATGTTTCTTTTTAGCTTTTACTTTGGGTTCCCTGCTAGCCAAGCTAACAATGTTTTTACTTTTGGTTCGCTGCTTCACGAACCATTTGTCCTGCTCTCTCTTTACCTACAGAGAGGAGTAAACCAATTGCTCTTGTCCCAGTCCTTTTTTTGCCCCGCTCTTGTCGTGGTCCCTTTTTTAGTCTAAGATTCTTTGATGGCAGCAACTCGTTGAGTGCCAGAAAAATTGGGCGGGATGTGGAATTACCCATGTTTTAATAACAAACAGTGAAAAGAAAACCCCAAAAATAAAATTGAATACCACCCAAAGGGCCAAGAAAAAATAATAATACCCTTTGTTTCACTTTTACTCTGTCCGCTTTGACGCAGCTCTACTACTTTCCTTTTTGTCCCGTCCACTTTGACGCGGCTCTGCTGACCGTTCTCCCCTTCTCTACGGGTGAGAACAATAATCCCGCTCTTTTCGCGGATCCCAGCCTTACCTGGGGACTTACCGGTGCATCCCCTGACCGCTGTGAGTTCTGAATTCCTTTCTTCGTACGAGTGTCCCCGTACGGGCCACCAACTGTCACGACCACCTCGACCAGCAAGGAAGACGCGACTCAGGAATCCTTCTCACAAGCAGTTTATTCAGGAACTTGATGAACAACGTGGAGGCAGCCCCGGGAGAAACCCCTCCTGCTCCCTAAATAGCCGAGGCCAGCCAACCCTGAGCAGCACGTGTGCGCAAGCCATAGGCTCACCAGAATGCATAAGCAATCTGATGACGATGGCGTGACCCCGGCGGGATGGGAGCAGGCCAAATAAGGAGTTGTTTATTACTGAGCGCACTCACCGTCGGGATGGTGGAATGCGGAAGCCGGCGCCATCTTTGAGGCGCGGTGTGGCGCAGCTCTCCACATGAAAGAAATGCACCCTGGCCCTGAACTTGGAGCCAAAAGGCTAAAATAGACCAGAGAAAGAAACACACTTTGGCCCTGAAACCAGAGCCAAATCTGACCCTAATTCTGTGCAGAAAACTAACCAATCCCTGAGCAGAAGCTCTAGCCAATCTGAGCTCAGCACTTAAATCGGACCAATCCCTATCCTGGAAAAACTACCCTGCCCCCAAGAATCCCTATATAAACCCTGTGTATGTTGAGCTTGGTTGGTCCAGCTGCTTCATTCCAATAAACCCCTTCGATGAGCTTTGGGTGAAGATCTTCTTTTGCGGTAGTGACGGAACAGAGGCGACCCTGGGCAGAGCAGAGCTAGCAGGGCTGTAACACTTTTGTCAGGGAAACCTTCTCTTGGCAGAGCGGAGTTGTTACACTCTGCTCCCTGCACTCCGCTCTCTGCAGCTCTCCGAGAGCAGAGCTGAACTGTAGCTACTTCACCAGAGAAACCTGTCGAGCAAAACTGCTACACTCGGCAAACATCCCCAGCTGGAAGACCCTGTCCTGCTGGAGCAGGGCCAATACACTGGGGAAGCCTTTCCCTGAGGCAAGGCTGTAAGCTGCTAAACTTACTGCAACCTGTGGTGGTCCTTGGCTCCCGAGCTCCAGGATACCTTTCCATCTTAGCTGTGTAACACTCAGTATCCTTGGCTCCCAAGCTCCAGGATACCTTTCCATCTGAGCTGTGTAACACTCAGTATTCTGTGACTCCTGAGTGCCAGAATACCTAACCCATCCCAATGCGTCCAAAATGCCTACAGTGACACCATGTAAGTGACATGCGAGTCACAGGGAAGTAGAGCAATTCTGCCAACTTACTGGAATCAAACATCAAAATCATGGCAGTTGCCAGGGGCCTCACTAGGGTTTGGAGAGGTGTTGGCTAATAAGTAGAAATGTTCTGACGTTTTAGTCCTCCATCAGGCGACAGTTAATAGTGACATTTCATATGTGAGTTGACTCAGCTCTGCCAGTGGAAGTGGTTTGCTTCTCAGCACCTACATAGTTCACAGACTGCATGTAGCAGGCATACAATGGTATACATTCACAAAGACACACATGCACATGTACAAAATATAAAATCTTGAAAATAGAAAAATACTTAGATATTTTAAACAATGGCATTTGAGGTGATGGAGATACAGTTGAAGGGGACTCCTGCACATTGGGGGCTCCCTCTCACGCCCCAGCTTAGGCACAAACCACACCCAAAGGTCTGTTTTCACAGAGATCTTTTATTAATTGGGGAAGAAAGTTAAAGTGGCCACTCTGTGACTCAGGCAGAACAGCAGCAAATGGCCTTGCAGATGTGGGAAGGGAAGGTCTGTGTCAGAGGGAGCTGGGATGCTGCAGTGAAGGAGACTGGACGAGGGGGAGGGGGAGGGGACAAGGGAAAGGACAGGGATATTTGTCCCAGAGGGGGACAGAGGACTGCCTCTGGATAGGAGACTTGGCACATAGGCAAAAGGCGGTTTGTAAAGACAAAATGGAACCCCGAGTTAGGATGAGGTGTTTAATTTTAATTGGATGTGTTAATTAGATGAGTGGGGGGGGGGCTTTGATGGTTAGACCGTGGTGGTCAGCCTCAGGAGGAAGACGTGGCCAAATAAGGAAATAGACCTTGATGGCTAGCATTAGGAATATAATCTAGTGCTGTTTTAGCATGGCAGAGGGAATGGAGAAGGGCAAGGCCTGCCAGAACCACAAGCTTGAGTGGGGCTAGTGTCCATTCGCAGTTATCCAAATTGCCCACTCCAAGACGGTTAGTAAACACACACAGAGGTACAGTTGTTAAGTGCACATAAAAACTTGTGTGGCTGTCCTCAGCCTATGCTCTCTCTGCATGACCACTCAGGAGCTGTAGTCC